TACCACGAATGAGCCATTTTGTATTTTGACCGAGGTTGGCCATCAAATCGCAATCGGGAACGCACCGCGACTGCTTGCGTGTTATTAGCCACATTATCCGGATATCCGGTGCAGCATCGCCAGACCCATCATGACCAGGCCTCGCGATCGACCACTTTGCGTTCGAAAACGAAATTGTCAAGCCTTGGCACAGTAGTAGAGGATACTTTGGAGAGTACCGAAAGCGAGGCTGCGTCGACGTACGAGGCGTACAGCGGTCGCGAGACGCGATCCAAGATGCGCGCCAAACTGAGATCGTAGTGCCATCTGAGAGGCACAGCGCACTCCAGACTAAGATCGTAGGACCATCTTAGCGGCATCACGCCACGACGCCGACGCTGCTTGCCGACAACATCACGTTTGAAATGGAATCGCCCAAAGTTGGCACGGTGCTAGAAGACACTTTGGAGAGCAGAGCAGACCGCGATTCGTCGTCGTTGCAGGCCTAAAACGCGCGCAATGCTAGACCACAAATACAAAGCGCTCATAAATCGTTTTAAATACAAATGGCTGCATTGGTACGCCGTAGGCGTCGTCTTCTGCACTTGTAGCGACGGTCTACCCTTCCAACGATTCCTAGCAACATTCACGGAGTGACGACGTCCAGCACATTCTGTGGAGCGATACAAGTGCTTTTACAAAGTTAAAAATGCAAATGACCGCGTTGGCACGCCGTAGATTTCGTCTTTAGCACCTTTTAACGACGATCTCCCCTTCCAGCGGAACAAGATTGCGATTCCTAGCAACATTCATGGGGTTACGACGTCCAGCACATTCTGTGGAGCATTTGGAGCGAGATGCTTTTAGCTCACAATGCTCGGGCTTCCGCACTCGCGGCGATCTAGTGTCACAACGCGTGTGAAGTTATTTATGCGTCCTCGTATGTCACAGGTCGCAAAATGTCGATTCCTATGACGTGGCACTCGGAGAATGTCCCATTTCGACGCAAACGTTCAGTCGTGTAAGAGAAAAAGCGAGCACGACAAAGAAGAAACGCAGTGCTTTTACAAGAGAATTGTAGAAGCCTTGAGGGCTTCTCATTCCGCAATTTGCGCTGCAGGGCCTCGGCCGCACGGCACCGCGTCGCACGGCAGGGCGGTCGCAAGCGGGCGTCCTGTCGACTGTGGACGGTGACACTCGTGTGGCCGAGGTCCTTCTTTCGCCACGCATCCCTGCAGTACAGGACGTTGACTCGCCATGGAAGCAAAGATCGCAGCGTCTTCATGCGCGAATTGGCTTGGGTCTGCGTCGTCGAGGATCGATGATCGCCAAGCTCGAT